GGTCCGGGAAAATTCAAATTATTGTACTTTTCAATTTATTTTTGGGACAACCCCGGCACAACCTTCCAAAACCGCTGCACATCATGTAAGCCAGGATCTACAGTAGATACAATAGTAGATATACTTTTCGATTATCTATAGTGTTGTACATGTTTAGAACATGTTTGTACAGATGCCATGGTTACTAAACAGACCATTGAAGTTTTCGTCAAAATTGTACGTCAGGAATCACTGACCACATACGAAATTACCAAACTGATAAGAAATATTTTAAGAAACATTTTGTTCAATGTACTCCGATAACTGTTGAGGTCCAGTTTAACTGATACTACAAACTTAAAAGATTTATGTGGTACCTATTTTAAATTACAATTATCAGATCGATATACAATACAAGCGTAATGATAAGATATTACAAAAAAAAAACGTCAAGGAAATACATTTAGTAGTTTTGTACGGGCGTTTATTTATTTCTATATTTTTCCATATTAGTGAATGAGGATCAGTTTTATGATTACAATGTTATCTTTTGTTTATATTAACTATACAGTCTTATCACATCTAGACTTAGTATCAAAATGTAACCCCGTACTGTAACAGTTAATCTACTCGGAAATGTAAAACAGGTTACATATAATCAAAATTAAAAACAATGATTATCAAATCTTATTAATCAAACAAGTAAACTTACTCATAACGCATTAATTTGCATGTAACGAAGTCTAATCTTATACTTACTATTATATAAAGCGGAAGAATTTGTTTTATGTTTGTTTGTTTGTTTGAACGCGCTAATCTCCGTAACTACAACTCTGATTTGAATAATTATTTTTGTGTTGGATAGCGCATTTATCGAGGATGGCTATAGGCTATATAAAACATCACGATCAATAGGAGCTGAGCAGAGCGTGTGAAATCGCGCGGAAGTAGTTAGTTATAGATATATAATGTGAATGATATAATTGACTAAACCATAATCAAACTTATGCTGAAAATAATTTTCAATATTTTTATCAAACCAAGACCTCTCTCTTGGTTTTCCGGTATCTACAAGGAAACAAACTAGAATGACGTGCACATCCTTTTGGTTTCCTCAGTTGTTAAGTTACTATTTTATTTTTAAGTTATCGTTTAAAAAAAATAGTTATAACTGGCTTCTGCCAGCGACTTCGCCCGCGACCCTAGGGGTAAAACGCCTATGTACTACTTAAGACCATAATCTACCTCTGTTCCGAATTACATTCCGGTCCCTTCAGTCATTTTAATATGACTGAGTAACAAACATAGACACAAGCACATAAACTCACATATTTTTACATTTATAATATCGGTTCAAGCTAATTTCAACCATCGGCCTCACAGTTACAGCGTAAAGACTGCACGGTTGGTGTGGTGGCTGGGCAACCGGCTGCCGTGCAACGTGTCGCGGGTTCGATTCCCGCACGGAACAACACTTTGTGTGATCCACAAATTGTTGTTTCGGGTCTGGGTGTCATTGTGTATGTGAACTTGTATGTTTGTAAACGCACCCACGACACAGAAGAAAATCTTAATTTGGGGCAACGTTTTTAAAAAAAAAAAAAAAATAAAGACAGTCCACTGCAGGCAACCTAATATTCGACAAACTTATATTTGCGTGGGTACAGGTTCGTTTAAGCCGCACAATTAAGTTAGTTTTTTTTGTGTAATATACTTTTTTGGGATAAGTTAATAATGTTTACTTTTTTAATTATGGATGAGTGAGAGTAATAAACGTAACTGTAAACACATTTAAACTGTCAAACACCAAGCGGTCACCGGTGACCGCAACCTATTGTTCTATAATTGTGTCTACAAAACCGGTACTCGACGAGTTAAGCAGAAAGTTTCGAACTGCTAAGCTATCGGGAGTTACTCGTGTTATTGCGAGTCGACCATAAAAGATAGACATATGCTGTTGTAGGATATTCTTTAGATAATTTTATGTAGAACATTTTTCTGATACATAATTTCTATGTAGCTTTAAACATTAAGGCTGCATGGGCGACGGAAGATAAAAAAAATGCAGTTACTTTTCCCGTTTTTCCAACATTTCCCTTCACTACTCTGTTCCATTTGATTTTAGTGTGATGGAAAGTATACTATAACCTCCCGAGGGGTATAACCTCCCGAAAAATAATTACACTAAGTTTCGTTTAAAACTGACGAGTAGTTTTTGTTTCTATAAGGATTATAAAGACGGGCAGACGGATAGACAGACAGACAAAAATTTTACTGATTTCATTTTTGGCATTAGTTTCGATCACTAATCCCCCACTAAACCCCCTGATAATTATTTTGGAAATATATCATGTACAGAATTGACCTCTCCACAGATTTATTATAAGTACAGAAATGTTCTGTAGCCTCCCATAAGGTCGTACGTTAGTAAGTTATCGTATATAAACTTACATCGGACTTTTAACATAACTGGAGACAAGTACATGTAACACTCGGTAACATCATACAGGTATACATGTCGCGGGCCTGCGGACGGCGAGCATAGGTGGCTCCCTGTCCGACCAGAAACAAACCTCAGCGTACGGCGCGTCGCGTTCCGCGCGCGCCTCAAAGAGCCATCAGACCACCACAGATCCGGCCCAATAGGGCAGATGCCGATTCGGAGTCGCGGAGAACCTAACGGGTAACCGGGGCTCCGGCTCGACGTGCAGAAGAAGGAACGGGGTGGTTTTTAGTCAGTAAGAGTCTGACACTCTCTCCCGCCTCACCCAGGCGGGAGCAGTCATTCGATGATTTTCCCCCCTTAAAAAAAAATAGGTATACGTATACTGTATGTACTTAACAATATGGTATTGGTCGAGAATCGCCAGTACAGTTGAGGAATAAGCTCCATTATATTCTTGTACATAATTTGACTAAGTAACTCAACTAATTTAAAGCCAAGGTTGTTGCTCATAGCCAATGAGTGTTACATTATATGTTCGCCTGATGAAACGAGTCGAGGGCCAATATGTCAAAAATACGGACCTACCGTCACGGTTGCAGGTATACAAAATTGCGTGCGGATTCCTGAGTTGAAAGTTGAGCTCAGTATATGACAATAAGCTCACCCCCTCTTACATCAGATTGGTAACATAACTGGTTAAAAATGAGGGTTGTCTACATCTACTATCTTCTCATATTAAAGGAGACAACGTTGTAAGAGTTTCAGTAAGGTGTATCTAAGGTTGAGTGGCTGGGATTGCGATTGGGTCACTGGGAGCCTTGGAGGAGGTTGCTGCCTAACTCTCGGTCACTTCCAAGCTGCTTTTTCAAGCTTCATTTCTAACAAGGTAAAGTAAAAAACAAATAAAACAGAGTTGTGAGGAAACAGTATGATTATAATATTACAGATAATAGAATTGAAACTCCTGACAAAACGCTCAACGCACAATTTTGTGTGATAATCTAAGTTATTCACAAAAAAATAGTCAAATAACTACTGAAAATCCTTTGATGAAATATAAATACGTTTGATAAGATAGTTTACTTCTATAATTAAGAGATATTAATTATACAGGCATGGTTTTGTTATTCATTAACCCATGGTATGCTTGAACTTGTATGGTATACTGTTGGTTCAGGAGTAGTTGTAGGTTCAGGAGTAGTTATCGGTTCAGCAATAGTCGTTGGTTCAGGATTAGTTGTTGGTATAGGAGTAATTGCTGGTTCAGGAGTAGTTATCGGTTCAGCAGTAGATGTCGGTTCAGGAGTAATTGCAGGTATCGGAGTAGTTGTTAGTTTAGAAGTAGTTGTTGGTTCGGGAGTAATTGCTGGATTTCGCTGGATCTTCGTAAATCTGGCAAACATTTTCATTCATATCGGGTGGTATGTAGCGTTTGTTTCGAAATCGTACGTCACACAGGAATCGCTGACTGTATACGAAATTAACAAACTGGCAATTATAATAGATGTTGTATGAATCATTTTATTCGTTTGTTTTACAATATGCAACAAATAATAATAACGTAGCAAGCACTTAAAATGAATACGTTAACCAGAAGTTTATATATTAATTCAATTCTTAATTATCTGATCAAAATATGTATTTTTGTGTAATAAAACGTTAAGATTCTGACTGATAATGCTAAACGTAAATTACAAACAAATAAAATTGATTAGTTGCATTAATTGATTGATGCATTTTATAAAGTTTTAATGTATATTACATGCATATTATTTGGACACAGGAAAACCCAAACCAAAATAGTGAGTTTCGAAAGTGCAAAACAGGTTATACCAGGTTATTTATTTAAATTAAAAGTAATGATTATCAAATCTTTTAATCAAACAAGCAAAATTACTCATAGCGTATTAATTTGCGTGAACGAATTCTAATTATAGATATTTTTTAATTTATTTTGTACAGTTAATAAACGAGCTCAATTATTTTATTCTTGTACATAATTTGACGAGATAACTCCACTAAATTCAAGCCACGGTCGTTGCTCTTAGCCAATAAGTGTAGCATTATATGTCCATCTGGTGAAACGATTTGAGGTCTAACATGTCACAGATCCTTAACTACAGTTACAGTTGCAGGTTTAAAAGTGTGTGCGGATCGCTCAAGATTGTGTTATATTATATCATGCAGCCATATGGTTATGTGGCAAATATTAAATGACTATGGCAAAGAGTTTTTTATATATTTGATGGGCCGACGTTTGACCACTATCTAGCCCGGTGGTAAGCTATGATGTGGTCTACGATGGAGCAAGTCGTCCCATAAGCAACCTACATACACCTATGCATAGGCCTTGAAGACACCTTTCAGGAAATGTACAGGACTGGCATAGAATTCCACTTCACAAAGATGAGAACAGTACTCCATACAGAAAGAGACAGACCTCTGAGTTTGTTTCGGCATTTCTTCTCAGAGTAGTCAGTTAGGAAATGTCGACCTCATCGTTCGCTTGATAAAATTGACGTGTAAAAGTGCTGCTTTGTAGCCTATTTGCAGAAATAAATTCACTTGTTTCACTTGTTTCACTTGTTTCACTTGTTTCACTTGTTACAGGACCGAAAGTGAGCTTGGTACAGGCTCTGCAATTGTTTCGGCGTTAAGTACCGTTTCACCCGCCATAAGATACCCAATCCTAAACTTTCATTCGTTTTATCTAAGTATTGTTTTATTAAACCACAAAATAAAAGAATACGTGTCTAATATTTTTTAATTACCTAACATACGGAATAATCAAAATTTTTAATTTTTATACCTTGTCATTATCCCATTGGACTCCATTTGCGGAGAATATATAAGCTTTTTTTGTTTTGAGCGTGGAATATCAACCAATGACTTCCCCCGCCTGGGAGAGGCGGGAGGGAGTGTCAGACTCTTAAGACTAAAAACCACCCCGTTCCTACTCCTGCACTTCGAGCTGGAGCCCCGGCAATCCGTTAGGTCTTCCGCGGCTCCGTAAGAATACACAAGCCTGATTTTTACCTTCAAGGCTATTCAAGAAGAAGAAGACAATTGAAGAACATGAACTGCTTCAATTTCGAAACCTTATTTAGATGTTTTTTAGATTTTTGAAATTTCCATAGTAATATTTATTTTTATTTTTATTTATTTATTTTACAAAAGGTGGTGACGTTATAACAGTTTTAAAAAGGCACATTACTGCTGAACATTGATCCCCTCTAAGGCTGAATTTGCAATTAGGTGAATCAAAGGGCCTGAAGGATGTTATACTACCTAACTCTTGGTGGAGAACTCACTTCCAAGCTGCTTTATCACTTATCCCAAAAGGCCGGTGTCGCACTGGCGTCCATATGCGACGCCCATTGCTCACCATCAGGTGATCCGTCTGCTCTTTTACCGGCTAATCCCATAAAAAGAAAAAAGATGAAATAAAGTGACGATGATACAATAAAATTTTACAGATAATGACAATTCATAAAACTTTACAGATAATGGAAATGAACCTCCTGGCAAAACATTCAAGGCACAATTTACAATGACTGATAGATAACCTATGTTATTCAAAGTAAAAAAAATATAGTGGATTTTATTCACAAATAATTCACAAAATAAAATAATAAACATCTGATAAGACATTTGAATTATATAATAAAGAAATAATATTTGTCACACGTCTAATAAAAGGTAACAGAGCCTTGCTTCATCCGAGTTCGTAAAATATAATACATGCTTTAACTAACAAAATAACATGAATTATTTTAAATTATTAATATTTATAGTATTATTTATGGTAATGATTATTTTGTTCCAAAACGATGTATTATCTTCTGCGTCAGTAGGTGGTCTAACATCAGGACTTGTAGTCGTAGACTCCGGGCTAGTTACTGTTGGTTCGATTGTGGTGGTAGGTCGCGGTGTTGTTGGTTTAGTAGTGGTCAGTTCAGGGGTAGTTATTGGTTTAGGAGTAGTTGTTGGTTGAGAAGTAGTCGTCGGCTCAGGTGTTGTCGCTAGATCTTCGTAAATCTGGCATAAAGTTTCATTCATACCGGGTGGTATGTAGCGGAGTGAATCAACTAAAACTATAGCACTAGCAGATGCCCGGCTAAAAATGGATATCTGTAGCACAAGACAAATAAAAATTGTTAGTCTCTATAATAACAACCACACCACCTACCGTTTAAAACTTTATACTTGATCATCATTGTAACAAGACAAACCATCTCTAGCACCATGCTGTATTTTAATGAATTTACTTAAGATGCGGGGGAAAATAATGCTTGATTTAGGAAAACATCATTTAGGAAAATAAATGTCGAAGTACAGAGATGTGTCTTGTTTAATAATACCATTATTATGAAATATGAGTATTATTATTATAACATGTAATCTAATAATGTAGATATACTCACATAGGCTTTAATTGTAGATGAAGGATATAATGGTAAATCTATCAAGTACCACCCTTTTATATCTTGGGAGTTTAATTGACGATATCCTGTTAAATGAGTAGTATCTTCACCGGCGACGATAACATCTACAGTGGCCATTGTATCAGAATTAATGTAAAGTTTAACTTCAAGTGTACCACCCGGGCTAATTGTAAATACAGACGATGACCAACATTTTGTATTACCATCACGTGGGGGTGTGATAAACTTGGTGCTACGCTCATCTGGACTGTCTAAATTCAAGTTACTGTACTCGTCAAGAACCCATGCAGGTATACCGCTACACAAGCCGTAGCCACCAACTATATCATTCAAATTTTCTTCAAAATTGTACGTCACACAGGAATCACTGACTACATAAGAAGTTAAAAAACTGGCTATAATCAATGTCGTAAGACCCATTTTGTTTCTGTTGATGCAAACAATACGTTACGTTTACTTTTAACTACCTAATATAAACCAACTAAAGGTTTTTATAGTGATTCGAATCACAATTATCTGATCAAGAAATGTATTTGTGTATAATAAAACGACAAGACTTTGACTGATAATGCTCAACATGCATAACAATATTGGCTTGTCAGTCAACGGATATTCTATGTTAATTAAGGATTTTCTCAAAGACTTTTCGAAAAGTCCAATTACGTTGTTAGGGTATTCTCGTCCAGAGCGTACGGCACGTCGGGTTCCGCGCACCCCTCAGAGAGTCATCAGACCACCACGGATGGGGCCCTGGCTGCGGAGAACGTAAAAGATTACCGGAGTCTTGGCTAAAAGTGCAGGAGTAATAGTCTGACACTAGAGGCGGGAGAAATAATTCGATGATTTTTTTCGCTTAAAAAAACGAAGAAAGGTTTTTTTCGTGTACTTATTAATACAAACTGTACATCCACTGATCCACATCCGAAGCAATTGTTATTTAACGATTTAAAACATTGTTTCAAGTACAAATCGATCTTACCATATGTTGCAACTTTGTTGCCTCACATGTCCATATTTATAAATTGAGGCTAAAAATGGAGCATCAAGAAATCAAAAGTAGAAACTGATTCTATGCGAAACAAGAAAACCGATGCTGAAACGATTAACTATTCAGAATTTGAAATATTAATCACACCATCTTGATAATCAAATTTAATTAAAAACACTGATTTTATCAAATCTAATAAATCAGACAAGCAAAATTACTCACAACATATTAAATTGCATGTCAGGAAGTTTGGTGGTAAATAATTTGAACTACAAACATTTTTCCTTGTTTCAAAACAAAGTTTAGTGTTGAGTTTAGGTTAAAAAACTTGTCGTTTTCATGTGTACCTATTCGCCTTTTTTATTTCAATTTCACATTCCAATTGAACAAAATCTACCAATCCCTCCTTTTTTAAGCACCTTTTACTGACATACGAAGTCCTAGTAGCTACTGTTTAGATTTAAAAATCTACATTAATATGAAGCCCACCTACGAATATGACTCTCATAGTGCGTCGACTGAGAAATAAAAATGGCGACAGAAGAAAATAATTATTTTAAAACCTACATTTATAACAATAGCATAAAGAGGAAAGGTTTCATTTTTTAAGGTCACTAAAAATATCCTCCAGTCGAGCCGGAGCAGGAACGGGGTGATTTTAAGTCAGTAAGAGTCTGACACCTGGGTGAAGCGGGAGAGACAATTTATGTCTAGATAGGTTTATTGTAATATACATAAAGTAGCTTTGGCGCTAGAACATTGCAACGTCCATTATTTTGAGCATTTTGGAAAAAAAACAATTTCCACACCACATAAGACTAGGTCTAGGTTAGGTTAGGTTAGTCAGTATAGGACAATAAGCTTACCTCCTCTTTCATCGGAATGATAACATGAATGGGGAAAATTGAGGGTTGTTTACATCTTTGTCATCTTTTATTGTTTCAATTATCTAAGAGAGTTAATTCTGAGACACTGTTAACAGCCTATCATGGACTTGTAGTCTCTATTCTCCGTTATGGTGTTGTTTTCTGGGGGCAATCAACAAATAGAGAACTAGTATTTAGGATGCAAAAAAGGTGTGTAAGATCCATGTGTAATCTAAAGTCAACAGATAGTTGCGTTCCCTACTTCAAGAAATTAAAAATATTAACGTTACCAGCTATATATATATTAGAAACTGCACTATTTGTAAAATCAAATCCACATTTATTTACAAAGTTTTCAACAGTTAAGAAGACCCCCATTCGGAGTCAATATGAAAATCAACTATGTACGTTGAAATGTAATACTGCGTTAATGAAAAAGAGCTTTTTTGGTGTAGCACCAAAAATTTTTAATAAAATACCCGATGCTATAAAATGTATGCCATTAAAGAAATTCAAAAAGTGTCTTCACAAGTTATTAGTTGAGAAATGTTATTATGCCTTGGATGACTATTTTAATGATAATACTATTTGATTATATTCTGTAATTTTATAAATTATTATTATTAATGTTGACTTGATGACTATTTTAATTTTGGATGACTATTTGATTAAATTCAGTAATTTTATTAATTCATATTATTACATTTATTTAAACGCTTTGACATTGAAGTTTACATCTTGACGTTTAATTTTACGCTTTGACATTGAAGTTTGACATCTTGACTTTTAATTTTACGCTTTGACATTGAATTTTACATTTTTAACATTTTGATATTATTATTTTTGACATTTAATTTTAATTTATGCCATTATTGAAAATCTCTAATGTTCTTCAAAGCGGATATTTTGTGGTTTACATTATTTTATTCATTTGATTTAAAGAGTCGTCAATGTTCAATGAAATTGCAAATTCTTAACGAGATAAATGGTCAAGATTGTGTAATTGTAGTGATGTGTTTACTGTTTATTGTTTATGAATCTGTGTCAAATCCTTGTTTTAATTAAGTATATTGCATGTATTGTACGCCCTAGAGGCAAAACATAGCGCTCTCAACATATTACATAAGAACTTATAATGTATCTATGTTTTACAATGAATAAATGAATCTTAAATCTTGAATCTGTTTTCATGTATTAATGAAGGTGACGTTATAAAACTTTCAATAAGGTATATCAAGGTTTGAATGTCTGGGATTGCGATTAGGTCACTCACTGAGAGCCTTGGAGGAAGTTCTGCTAACTATCGGTGGTAAAGTTACTTCCAAGCTGCGTTTTCAAGCTTCATTTGTACTGGGTTAAAGTAAAAAACAAATAAAACAGAGTTGTGAGGATACAATATTTTTTAATATTACAGATAATGAAATTAAAACTCCTGGCAAAACGTTAACGCACAATTTACAGTAATAATCTAAGTTATTCACAAAAAATAGCCAAACAACTACTAAGAATCCATTGACAAAATATAAATACATTTGACAATATACTTGTGAAACAAGTGAAACAAGTGAAACAAGTGAATTTATTTCTGCAAATTACTTTACTTCTATAATAAAAATATATTATAATTGCTATTGAAGTACAGCCATGGTTATGTTATTCATTAATCATAATATTGGGGTCATCTTTTAATCGTATACACAGAATTAAACATTGTGGTGAGACTTGCGTATAATAGAAGGTACTTCAGTCTTCCTTCGTCTGAGTTCATAAAATATTTATATGCTTTAACTAACAAAAAGGGGTTTACAAAAATATGTATTATTTTAAATTATTAATATTTATAGTATTATTTATGGTAATGATTATTTTGTTCCAAAACGATGTATTATCTTCCGTGTCAGTAGGTGGCCTAACATCAGGATTTGTAGTCGTAGACTCCGGGCTAATTACTGTTGGTTCAATTGTGGTAGTAGGTCGAGGTATTGTTGGTTCAAGAGTAGTGATCGGCTCAAGAGTAGTTATTCGTTCCGGAGTAGTTGTTGGTTCTGAATAGGTTGTTGATGTAGGAGTAGTTGTTGGTTCTGGATAGGTTGTTGATTTCGGAGTAGTTGTTGGTTTTGAAATTGTTGTTGCTTCTGAAGTCATTGTTGCTTCTGGAATTGTCGTTGGTTCGGAATTAATTGTAGGTTCTGAAGTAGTTGTCAGTTCAGGAGTAGTTATTGGTTCTGTAGTAGTTGCTGGTTGAGGAGTAATCGTCGGCTCAGGTGTTGTTGGTGGATCTTCGTAAATCTGGCAAAAACTATCATTCATACCGGGTGGTATGTAGCGGAGTGAATCAACTAAAACTGTAGAACTAGCTGATGTCGCGCCAAAAATGGATATCTGTAACATAAGACAAATAAAAATTGTTAGTTACTACCTCTATAATGACAACAATAACATCACTTGCTGTTTAAAACTTATACTTGATTATATAAAGAGAACAAATGATATTGACTAAAGAAACAGTAATTCACCCGTCTATAGCATTTGATGAATGGATCAGTAGATATTAGATAGATTCTACGAATATTTAACATAATAGTGGTGTTAAAGGTTCGATCTCCACATACAATATCAATTTGTAACCAAATTGTTGATTCTCGATATATCTTAATTTAGGCTGTAAGCATTTCAAAATGCATTTTTACTTTATTCTACTTAAGACACGGGAGTATAATTAATTCAGACTCACTCAATGTATGAGTAGATAGTAAGGGGGGAAAATTATCGAATGGCATCTCCCACCTGGGTGAGGCGGAAGGGGGTGTCAGACTCTTACTGACTAAAAAGCACCACGTTCCTTCTCCTGCACTTCAAGCCGGAGCCCCGGTAACCCGTAAGGTTCTCCACAACTAGCTTAAGTAGATATACGACGGATTTTTTGACGGTCAGAATAACCTCTAATACACGAACAATATCTTAGGAAAATATTATTTAGGAAAATAAACGTCAAAGCATAGAGTTGTACCAATTTTATGTCATTATTATAAAATATAAGTAGAAAAATACTCACATAGGCTTTAATTGCAGATTTATTATTCAATGGTACATACATCGTGTACCACCCTCTTATAATTGGAGAGTTTACGGAGGCTATTCCTTCGAAAATGTTAGTAACATCATTGACGACGTAAACATCAATATAGACTATTCTGTCTCCTGAATTAATGTAAAGTTTAACTTCGAGTGTACCACCCGGGCTAATTGTAAATACAGACGATGACCAACAACTTGGATTAGCATCTCGTGTGGGTGTAATAAACTTGGTGCTACGCTCATCTGGACTGTCTAAATTCAAGTTGCTGTACTCGTCAAGAACCCATTTAGACCTGCCGCGACACAAGCCGTAGCTACCTAATATATTATTAAAGTTTTCTTCGAAATTGTACCTCACACAGGAATCACTGACTGCATACGAAGTTAATAAGCTGGTTATAATTATTAATGTCGTAAGAACCATTTTGTTTTGTGCAAACAATCCGTTCTGTTTAATTTAACTACCTTATTTAAACTAACCAAAAGTTTATATAGGGACTCAATTTAAAATATCTGATCAAGATAATTGTGTGTATCTAATAAAACGATAAGACTTTGACTGATAATGCTCAACATGCACAGCAAAATTGGCTTGTCAGTCAATGAATTTTTGATGTTTATTAAGAAATTTTTTAAAGTTACTTCGAAAAGTCGTGTCGCGTTCCGCGCTCGCCTCAATGAGCTATCACACCATCACGCAATAGGGCTGATGCCGATACGGAGTCGCGGAAAACGTACAAGGTTACAGGGGCTCTGGCTCGGAGTGCAGGAGTAGGAGCGGGGTGGTTTTTAGACAGTAAATGTCTGACACTCATTCTCGCTTCATCTAGACGGGAGAAGTAATTTGATGATTTTCTTTGCTTACAAAAAAGATATATTAAAAAAGATAAACTAAAATTTATCTTAGAAACAAGAAAACCGATGCTGAAACAGTTAACTATTTAGAATTTAATATTAATCACCATCTTCATAATCAAATTTAATTAAAAACAATGATTTTATCAATGTAATGAGTCAGACAAGCAAAATTACTCACAATATATTAAATTGCATGTCAGGAAGTCTGGTGGTGAATAATTTGAACCTTTGAATTTGAATTTAAACTACTCAAAATTTTCTACCATCGAGCCGGAGTATGAACGGCATTGTTTTTAGTTAGTAAGAGTCTGACACTCTCTCTGTTAATATAGGTTTTTGTAATATTATACGTAAGTAGTTTTGGTGCTCGAGTACCGCAAAGTATATTTATATGAGCATTTTGGAAAAAAATATTCCACACCACGTAAAAGTAGAGCAAGCAGTGCGTTTTTTCCTATAGTGTAGTCCTTTAAAGCTCTTGGTTAAGTAAGTAAGTTAGGTAGGTCAGTACAAGACAATAAGCTCACCTCCTCTTATATCGGACTGGTAACAGAACTGGTGAAAAATGAGGATTGTCATCACCTCTGTGTTCTTCTATTATAAAAAAAAATGCGAAAACTAAAAACTAACAAGCAAAAAATTTTCGCCAATACAAATTATTCAACACTAGGTTGCTACTGTTAGGCAATGAGGAGTTCTCTAAGCTATCATACTACTTAATCTAATAACAATCACACCCCATATAGCTGTAAAGTCCTCATCAAAACAAATTAATCAAACTCAAACACAAGATAGCTCCCGTTAGCCGTTTAAGATTTCCCTTAACTATCTTACTGCTTCATCATCAGACCCTTATTGACAACCACCTAGGTGTCTTGCCCTAACCAATACAAATTAATCAAACTCAAACACAAGGTAGCCACTGTTTACAATTGAGGAGTTCCCTCTTCTGGCTCTCGGCTCCATCATCTGATTGTAGTGACCTTTATCAGATTGTAGTGGTTTTAGATACTTAATGATTATTACTTACTAAATTAACAAATGCACTAGTCGCCCCTATAATTTTTAAAAGTTCCCCTCGTTTCCCCTGGGATTCTATTATCAGATCCTGATGACAAAGGGACCATATGACAAGCCTTTTAATTCAAAAAAATATTTTTTGAAATCGGTCCAGGCGTCTTCGAGTAATCAAGTAACAAATATAAAAAAGGTACATTAAGGTTCGAATGGCTTTTTTTGAGAGCGGATAAACATCCAATGACTCCTCCCGCTCCGGTGAGGCGAGAGGGAGTGTCAGACTCTTACTGATAAAATACCACCCCGTTCCTACTCCTGCACTTCGAGCCGGAGCCCCGGCAACCCGTTAAGTCTTCCGCGGCTCCGTATCGGCATCAGCCCTGTTGGGCCCCATCTGTGGTGGTCTGATGGCTCCTTGAGGCGTGCGCGGAACGCGACGCGCCGCACGCTCGGGCCTGGTTCTGGTCGGGCGGCGAGTCACATGTGTTCGCTGTCCGCAGATCCATACTTACGGTGGCCGGAGATCGTCAAGGTTCGAATGGCTGGGATTGCGATTATGTCACTGAGAGCCTCGGCTCCTCCAAGGCTCTCAGTCTAATCGCAAAGTTGCTGCCTAACTTTTGGCGGTGAAGTAACTTCCAAACTGTTTTATTTCTACTGAGCTAAAATAAAAAATAAATAAAACAGAATTGTGGGGATACAATAATTTTTAAATATTATAGATAATGGAAATGAAACTCCTGACTAAACGCTCAAGGCACAATTAACAGCAATAATGTATGTTATTCACTATGAAATTCTCAAATAAGTATTGAAAATCCATTAATAAAACATAAAAACAATTGATAAAACATTTTACTTCTATAATATAGAAAAGGCATATTTTCTATTGACATGCAAACATGATTAAGTTTTTCATTACTCCTATTGGATTTATAGTCGTATACACAGAATTAATCATTGTGGTGTATTCTCAAAGTCCGTATTAGAAGGTACTACAGCCTGTTTTCGTTCGAGTTCATAAAATATAATACATGTTAAAACTAACACAATCAGATTTAAAAGAATTATTAACGCAATTATTATTTTGGTCCAAAACCGTCTGGTAGCTTTCGCATCAGTAGGTGGTCTAACACGAGGATATGCGGTCATTGACTCCGGGCTAGTTACTGTAGAAACGTTAGAGGTGTTGGCCACAGAGTTGTCGTTGGTTCTGGAGCAGTTGGTTAAAGAGTAGTTGCTGGTTCTGGAGTAGTTATTGGTTCAGCTGTAGTCACTAGTTGATGTTTGTCGGTAGATATTACCTAGTAAATTTGGCAAGAACTTTCACTCGTACCAGGTGGTATGTAGCGGAATGAATCAACTAAAACTGTAGAACTAGCTGATGTCATGCCCATAATGGATATCTGTAACACGGGACAAATACAAACTGTTAGTTATTATAATAAAAGTATCATTAACTTACTTAGGAAATTAAGGGTTTAACGTCGAAATGTGAGACCTGAATATTGTTTTTAGAAACAGAAACAGGGTTAAAAATTAAAATTAATAATTAATGTGTAAAATTCATATTTATCTGTATAATTTATGAACTTCATTCAACGTATTTCTAATTGTGACAAAAGAATGACCTCGACTAATAGGTACTCTAAATAATTAAACAATGCGCGTGCTTCTTCCTCTGTTCAGTAAATACTTCAAAATATTAAAAAAAGTATACAATACAATGAAAAAGAAATCATTTTCTACAACATTACATAAATGCAAATAGCAGAAATTCCATAGAAAACGATGTATTTGCAGAAAAGTTCTTTGTGAAATATCTATAGTTGCTAACACCCTACGATAAGTAGGGTTTCAAATAAGATTCATATTGTAATAATAATGTTTCACAAGTTTATAGCCGACCGTCCCTTTCATTTTGTGATTTTTGCCCTCATTTAACTAATTTAAGTAATTTATCTTGACTAAAGAAAAGTCCAGTATACCAATTGTATCAAACGGTATACAATTTAAGTGTGGGAGAGCCATGCCTTGGCACGAATTGGCCGACTCGACCGGAGTGATGTGGTATCACTCCGGTCGAGTCGGCCTCACAGAAAACCGACGTAAAGGAACGCTTGCGTTGTGTTTCGTCGTGTGAGTGAGGTTACCGGAGGCCCAATTACCCTCCCTTTCCCCAATCTCCCCAATCCCTGAATCCCCAACGATCCTCAAACTTCCAATCCCTAAAAGGCCGGTAACGCACTTGTAATGCCTCTGGTGTTCCAGGTATCCATGGGCGACGCCAATTGCTTACCATCAGGTGATCCGTCTGCTCGTTTACCGACTTATGCCATAAAAAAATGAAAAATACCATAAGATACGGTATTATTACCATTTCTCGAGATAATACTGCGGTAATAATATTATTTTTAAATTCGTTTTTCCTCTTGTAAGTGTTATAACCATCAGAAGACATTACTAAGCATATTATTAAAGTTATTGAATTAAACCTACGATAAGTAGCTTAAGACATAAGTATGAGATCAAATTAAAAATGTCTGACTGTCTCACATTCTGAAATTCTTGTATTAATTACGCTTATTTTTCCAGCATATGCTGGAAAATATTTAAAACTAGTTCATGTAAAGAGATCAAAATTAGGAAGTTAAAATGAATTGTCACTAAATTACATAAGTAGAAAATTTACTCACATATACTTGAGTTGAAACTGAAGGAAACAATGGTACGTCCCACGTGTACCACCCTTTTATATTAGCAGAGTTTACGGCATCCATTCCTACCATTATACCAGTACCATCTACGACGACGAAAACATTTATGTTACCACCATCTCTGTCTTCTAAATCCATATACGTTTTAAGTTGAAGTTTACTACCCGGGTCAACAGTAAATACGAACGATGACCAACAACTTGCAGTACTAGCACGTGTGGGTGTAATAAACTTGGTGCTACGCTCATCTGGACTGTTTAAACTCACTCTGCTGTACTCGTCAAGAACCCATGCAGGGATGCCGCTACAAATGCCGTAGCTACCTACTATATCATCGAAGTTTTCTTCAAAATTGTACGTCACACAGGTGTCACTAACTACATACGAAGTTAATAAAGTGGTTATAATTAATGTCGTAAGAAACATTTTGAATTCTTCATGCAAATTATACGTTACGTTTAATATTAACCAGGTACCTAATATAAACCAACCAAAAGTTTATATAGTGATTCAATTCATAATTATCTGTTCAAAACATGTATTTGTGTGTAATAAAACGATAAGATTTTGACTGATAATGCTAAACATAAACAACAAAACCAATTTAAGGAATTTCCAAAATGTACTTCGATAAGTTCAGTTATGTTGTTAGGGTTTTCTCGTGTATTTATTAACACAAATGTTTTCTCCAGATCTGGAACAACACATACACATCGAACCTTCTACAAGACATGTTGCAACTCGGTTGTCTCACATGAGCATATTTATAGAAGGCTAAAAAATCATTTACAAGTGAAAAGTACAAAATTAGTTTATTCAAAACAAAAAAACGATGCTGAAACAGTTAACTATTTAGAATTTAATGTTAATCACCATCTTCATAATCAAATTTAATTAAAAACAATGATTTTATCAAATCTAATAAATCAGACATGGAAAATTACTCACAACGTATTCAATTTGCATGTTAGGAATATATCACCACTGTCTGGTGGTGATATAAAGAAGATAATTTCGGCTCCATATATTTTTGGCCCTTTTTTGAAAGTGTACAGGAATAATCAGGATTATATTAATGTCTTCCACAGGAATATCATCAGCGGCAATCAATGGAAGCACACCTTTTTTTTCTATCGCGATGGAAATCCTCATGGACTTCCCGCGCCGTGGAGACGACGAGGGGGCATGCTCCGGCAAGGAACACCGCGGTGGTTTTAGCCGGTATGAGTCCGCTCATACCGGCTAAAATCACCGCGGTGTTCCTTCACTGCCTGTGACCGTGACCCGGGTTGCCCTTACGGAATCACCACACCCGGCATGCCTCGACCTACCGCTATGTTTGCGGCAGGTCCCGCCACCTTAGCCGCCCCTGGGAGGCTGCTTCCCTTCTTCGAGTAGCGCGCGTAGAACACTACGCTAACGGCTAAATGGAAGCACGCCTGTGGTACTGTTATAACCCTAATAATAATGCTTCTGACATCAATGACAAAATTGTACATAAGCAATTATTTGCTATAAATAATCATTATTTTCCCAAATTTAGTGCAGATTTAGTCTAGACTCAGGTGCTGATATAATCGTGACCTTCAGATGTAGCCTAACTTATTGGTTTTCAGCCCAAATTCCTGATCTAGACCGGGTCAACATAGCCTTTCACTAGGGCAACCGCGCGACTGGGAGTGTAGTATTGGACATTAAAGTGTATATAATTATAACTTTAATATAAAAATGAACTCTTGCAACTCAAACGTGGTTTTTCTTCTAACTGCCGAGTCGCTCAGAATAACAGTACGTATAATTTATGTCCATGATGGAGCATTCACTATTAAACTTGCCAAAGATCAATTCAATTGAAGCATGCTGGATTTATGTGCGTATATCAAACTTACTTCAATCACATGGAACATTCATTTAAATACTACTCGCGGAAGATATCTCTGTGGAAGAAGTTTGGAAGACGACCGGACAAGATCTTTTCGCAATACGAAGCCGTATTCAATTTAGCCATATTGCGTCAAAAACGTATACTACATGAATACATTAGAGGTACAGTTGACCCGCCACTTGGTAGAATACTAACTATTCTCGATTATAACGGACAATAGGGCGTTGGTCAGCTACCATCACTATCGTGTGGTATTTGAGTTTTGCTTTTGCACGCTACTAAGACATATGTTTGATCTTATAAGGTCCAGAAGATGAAATCGTAACATATGATAATTAGAAGACTGCAATTGTCCGAGAGTATACCATACCGGTACGGAGCAGGATTTAGAACGAGATGGTTTTCAGTTAGTAACGGTCTGGCACTCCCTCTTGATACGTGAGGAGTTGTATATTCAACCAAAAAAAAAAGAAAACGAAATCTGTTCGCATTATAATCATAATTGCCTCAGATACTTTATTCTAGCAATATCGATCATTATTTTCTGTTTCCTAGCACCTTTATTAGGGCCTGTTTCACAATATCTGGTGAGCCGCTATCTACTACATAAAATTGAATTAAGAACGTAAATTGTATGAACTATCTGTCACATAAGTTTATCAGGTATATAATTATTATATTAACATGAGCAATAAATATATGAAAATGATGAATCTTGGAACTGGTATTTTATTGTACATATTTTGAAACTTGACTGGGTGCTCAACAAGGGAATAAATAAATAATTAAAATTATCTTGTTCATTTGTAAATATACGCTCATAAAATAGTAGTAGTTATAGTATGTCTAGGTTTTGTAGTAGTATGTATAGGTAGTTAGTTAGGTAGTTTTGTAGTATGTCTAGGTTTTTTTATGTTAGTAAATAAGGATCAGTTTTATAATTAGAATGTTATCGTGTCGATCAGGGTGTATACCTTTAAACAAATTACACAATCTTATCACATCTACTTAGTATCAAAATGTATTCCGTAAAGTATAACCCACACTATAATCTACTCGGAAATGTTAAGCAGGAACACGTTACACATTACCTAAATATAAAAACAATGATTAATTATCAAATCTTATTAATCAAACAAGTAAAATTACTCAGAACGCATTAATTTATATGTAACTTAATAATGCATTTATTTGCATGTAATAGGTATACTTTGTAATTTGTTACTAAACCATAATTACGCTTATGCTGAACATAATTTCTAACATGTTTGTCGATTCAAGGGATAGACCAGGAAACAAACTGTGGGCTTACTCTTGAATCCAATTCCGATCGATCGACATTGGTATTGTGAAATTTCTTACTCTCGAGTTGCAATACTAGCGCCTATTGCATTTACATTGCGTGAATATTTAATAAACTAAATGGTATTGAGTTTGCCTTTATATTCCGTACTCTGAATGCTATTTTAATAGCTACGATAGGGGTTGTATAATTTTGACATTTAATAATTATTCAGATTTTATTGGATTGAAATTGCATTGACATTGATTGCATTGACATTGAGATTGGTTTCAAGAGTAAGCACCCTGGTATTACGTTACGTTCCTTTTGGTTTCTTCAGTTGTTGAGTTACTGCATATATATTTTGACATTGACACTAAAAGTTGCGGATCATTTCCGTATTTCATTTTGTTGGGTGAAAATGTTGGTAATAATTTGATCTGTTACCCCACATGAGATTGTACTTTAATAAATAGTAATAAGCACTAAAGGTAATAAATAGTAATAAGTACTAAACCCAATCCAAATATGTGATAAGAAAAAAAAAATCTATCTGGATGTTCATAATATCACGCAAATCTACCGGTCTGATTACGATGAAACTTGGTGTAATTTTACTTTAATATCCTGAGCATGCCTCTAAACTGATATCACTGGTTTATACCAGTTATCCTGAACATATCGTGGGCATAACATTAGAAAAAAATACGTGCGGCTCGCTGCAGTGCGTGTGTTAGACGCTCAAGTTTGTGTAACAAGTTGGCTGCACGTTATTTGGCGAGCTATGCTACTCAAGAACATGCACCGATCCAATTTTTAAAATTTTTGATTTTCAATTTCGATTCTTTTTACCGACTTCAAAAAAAGGAAGAGGTAGTTACTATGTTGTATTCATTGTTTTTTTTCATGTATGTTCACAGATTAATCCGACGTTCTTGGACCGATTTTTAAAATTCAACGTTTGTTTGAAGGTTACACTTTCGAGGTTTCCCATTGTCACCAAGTCAGAATCTGACAATATGATCCCACGGAACCCCAGGGGAACTTTTGAAAATTATAGAGACAACTAGTGCGTTACTTACTATTTTCAATAAATATTTTCAACCAGCACAATGTGATATAAGTCTGGAGTCGATGATGGAGTGAAAGACAGTTGAGGGAACCCCTCAACGGTATACAGTAAGTACCTTGTATTTGGCCTTGCTTAGTTTGTATTAATGAGAACTTTACACCTAGATGGAGTGGGACTAGTCATTAAGGGTCTGATGATGAAGAAGTGTAATTGTTAAGGGTACTGTTCTACGGATTTCAGTAACTACTTTGTGTTTAGACTTGTATAATTTGTATTAATTAGAATTTTGAACCAATGTAAATTATAAGTGGCAAAATGTCTATGTAGGTTTACACTAAAATGAAAAAATAAAGACTGCGTTTAAAACACCGACTGCTAAAACCTAAAAAGTATTATTAGTACTGATAGGTAACCCACCCACTTATAGATTAGAAGTCGGTGCCATAACCTCATAATAAAATAATTTAACTTAATGGTCGCAAAATTGTTAACAGCTTAATATCTGGTACCTATTAAGGTTTTAATGAATACTTTTGTCTGAGACTGAAACTACCCTTCGGGGATAAAAGGCGTGATGATATGATATGTTGAAAAACTTTGTTGAGAACTTATAGCGCTGACTTCTAACCTATCAGTGAGTGGGTAACCTATCAGTAGCTACTAATAATAGTTATTTTTGGTTTTAAGTTTTTACTTTTTGTTTGTTTTTAATTTTTGGGTTTCTTGAAGTCGTTTTTTAACGCAGTATTTATAAGATGTATTATTACTAAGAAAATTTCTCTTACTCAGTCGGAAATTAAGTCCGGTATATGACAATAAGCTCACCCCCTTTTACATCGGACTTGTAACAAGAAGGAGGGTTGTTTACACCTCTGTCTTCATGAAGAGGTGACGTAATAAGAATTTCAAAAAAGAACATTACTGTTGGACTTTGACCCCCTCTAAGGTTTTTAAGGCTGATTGCAATTTGGTAAATCGAAGGGCTTGAAGGATGTTACTGCTTCACTCTCAGTGGCTAATAAGTCACATCCAAGCTACTTTGTCAATTTATATTCCTACTTGGCAAAAGTTAAAAAAATAAATAAAACACAGTTGTGAGAATAAAATATTTTTTTAAATATTACAGATGATGGAATGCATTTCCATTTACAGATGATGGAAATGAAACTCCTGGCAAAACCCTCAAGGCACAATTTACAGTGAAAACCTATGTTATTCACAAAAATAGCCAAACAACTTTTGAAAATCCATTGACAAAATTATAAATACATTTGATAATTTTACTTCTAAAATAATGATAAGTTTTATTTATACATGGTTTAGTTATATGTTAGTCATATCTGTACAGTCGTATACACAGAATTAATCATTGTGGTGTAGAGACTTCGCGTCTAAGAGAAGGTACTACAGCCTTTCTTCGTCCGAGTTCATAAAATATAATACACGTTAAAACTAACACAATCAGATTTAAAATAATTATTAAGCCAATTATTATTTTGGTCCAAAACCATGTGGTATCTTCCGCATCAGTAGGTGGGCTAACACAAGGACTTGCAGTCGTAGACACCGGGCTAGTAACTGTTGGAGCAATAGTGGTAGTTGGCCGCGGAGTTGTTGTTGATTCAGAAGTTGTCGTTGGTTCATTGGTTGTTGGTTCTGGGATAGTTGTTGGTACTGTAGTAGTTGTTGGTTGAGGAGTAGTTGTCGGCACAGGTGTTGTCGGTGGATCTTCGTAAGTCTGACATAAACTTTCATTCATACCGGGTGGTTTGTAGCGGAATGAATCAACTAAAACTGTGGAACTAGTTGATGCTACGCCTAATATGGATATCTGTAACACAGGACAAAAAGAAATTGTTAGTTACAATGATAGCAACAACATTATCACTTGCTGTTTAAAACTTTATACTTGATCATACAAAGAGAACAAAAATATATTTACTCAAGAAACAGTAAGTAACCCGTCTCTAGCATACATACATACATACATAACTTCACGCCTGTAGGCAGAGGCCTACCCCCATAGGAGACAATCTCTACTAGGGAACGCCAATTACTACGATTCCTACATACCTCTTTCGCTTCATCAACAGTCATCAATCTTTTCATGCATGCTCGTTGGTTAAGAGTACTTTTAATTTGGCCCTTCTTTTAATATATAGCCAATCTGGTCACTATAACAACAACTAAATATTTGATGAATGGATCTATTCATATTAGATAGAACTTCATTTTACGGCTTTTAACACAGTAGAAGTGTTATATGTTCGATTCCCATATGTAATATCAATTTATGTGATTACCAAATAGTTGATACGAAATAGGTATATCTATGCTATAAGTATGTATTTATAAATGATTTTTTTTATTTATAATCAAATGTACTTAAGACACGAGGAAAAACAATGAATGCACCACTCCGTGTAGATATGTAGACATTGTAAGTTTCTTTAAAATAAATAAAATACCTACTTGTAATATGTTCCGATTTTAACAATATAATATGTTCTGCGTGATCACCGATGAGGTTTTCAAATTCCTACTGACTATCTATAGAGTACTCTTAATGAGGAGATGGAACTAATTACGACTTAGAATACCCTCTATACACTAACAATATCGTAAGACAATATAAGTCAAGGTAAATTTAAGAAAACCAGCTCTTCTTTAGATAGAAGATTTAGATAGAAGGTACAGAGTTGTGCCATGTTTATATCGCTATTATAAAATACTAGCTTCTGCCAGCGGCTTCGCCCGCGTTCTCGTGGAATAAAAAATGGCCTATGTGTTATATCTACACCTGTTCCAAATATCATCTAAATCCGATTAGTAATTTTTGATCGAATGAGCTACAAACACACACACTCACATACTTTCGCATTAATAATAAACACCCACAAATATAATAATATTCAGTAGGATAATAAAATAAGTAGAAAAATTACTCACATAGGCTTTAATTGTAGATGAAGTAGATAATGGTACATTCATCGTGTACCATCCTTTTATAGTCTGAGAGTTCACAAAACCAATTCCTGCTATTGTATTAGTACCATCGTAGAAGACGAAAAGATCTATGCTACCACCACTGTCTTCTGAATCCATGTAAATTTTAACGTCAAGTGTACCCCCCGGGCTAATTGTAAATACAGACGATGACCAACAGCTTGTACTAGCATCACGTCTGGGTGTAATAAACTTGGTGCTACGCTCATCTGGACCGTCTAAATTCAAGTTGCTGTACTCGTCAAGAATCCATGCAGACCAGCCGCTGCTACATATGCCGTAGCTACCTGCTGTATCATCGAAGTTTTCTTCAAAATTGTACGTCACACAAGAATCACTGACAACATAAGTAGTTAGAAAACTGGTTATAATCAATGTCTTAATAAACATTTTGTTTCATTTTATGCAAACAATACGTTACGTTTAATTTTAACTACCTAATATAAACCAACCAAAAGTTTATATAGTGATTCAATTCATAATTATCTGATCAAGAAGTGTATTTGTGAGTAATAAAACGATAAGATTTTAACTGTTAAAAGTTCTAAACAAAAATAAACAAAATAAAAAATTGGCTTGTCACTTAAAACATTTTCTAACTTTTTTAGGGAATTTCAAAAGGGTCAAATTATTTCATTACGATTTTCTCCTGTATTTATTAACACGATCGTTACATCCAGATGTGATACAATAAAATTGATACTTAATAGTTAAAACATGGTTCTAAGTACAAATCAACCCACCACATGTTGTATCACTTGTCCAGACTTATAGAAAGCTAAAAATATATAATAAAGTACAAAACTATTCTATTAGAAACAAGAAAACCGAAGCTGAAACAGTTAACTATTCACTATTTGATATTAATCACCACCAAATTGATAATCAAATTTAATTATAAACACTGATTTTATCAAATCTAATAAATCAAACATGCAAAATTACTCACAACATATTAAATTGCATGTCAGGAAGTCTTGTAGTGATATGAATTTGAAGTTCAAAATATTGTTCCTTTGTTTTAACAGACTATCATCAACTGTGTGCCCACTGCTGAGCAAAGCCTCTTCTCACACGGAGAAGGTTTGAGCAAATCACCACACTTGCTCAATGCGGGTTGGCGATTTCAAACATAATTAGAAATTATAAGTCCAGGTTTCCTCACGATGTTTTTCCTTGCACCGTTTGTCAGTGGTATCTAAATAATCTTAGAAAGTACATATAACTCGGAAAAAGTCACATTGGTACTTGCTGTTGGTAGGTTTCGAACCCGCACCCTCATGCATGAGAAGTGGGTGTCTTAAATATCGGGGCCACCATAACATATAACAGACTATAGTGTCGAGTATACGGTCCTCGACCACATTATACGCACCCTCGTTTAGTTCAATAGGTTATCATATTACTGCTATATTATGTACTTAGAAAATGTTTTATTTTTTTAGTTTTATATTTATCTGTCAGATATGAAATTAAAGTGTTAATCAATTCTTGTTGTCGAGGTGGCTCGAAGATGTAAGACGCCCGCTTCTTACGGATGAGAGTGACGGATCGAAACCTACCATCGACAAGTACCAATGTGACTTTTTACAAGTTATATGTACTTAACATAACATAAAATCACGCCTTTTTATCCCCGAAGGGGTAGGCAGAGGTGCACATTTTGGCACTTCAGGACACTGTACAATG